TTCTTCGGCGTTATCCCTCTTCCCTCGCATTCCTACGGTCTCGTTACTGTATCCTTCGCCGCGAACACCTCCGTTTATCTTTGAATCTCTTGCTCGTTAGGCGAATCGGAAGCCTGAGCATACACCGTGCTCGCTCGCGGTGTGAAACGGACGTGCCCTCTCCGTGAAAAACTGACCAGACCATGCGGGGCAACGTTTCCAGCTTCGTCTTCGGACCGCGTTCGAAACTACGATCACGCGTCTGTCTGTTGTCCGCGTCGACTCGTCGCGAATAGAGCGATTTTCGGAGTGACTTTTCGAGTGAGTCGGGTAGAGCTCGCTTTCTTCAACCCTTTGCACTCGGAAGTTTCTCAGTGGAAATATTTGGACATTTTCTGATGAGATGAAGACATTGTTTGAAACTAATTTAACGATCGTTCACAGATAAATTAAGCAAAGCTGTTTTATTTAAATATTTCACGTTGCGAAATATAATTTTAATGTAAAATACTGAATATTGAACTTCATAGTTTTGCTGTAACAAATCAAGTGACTGAGTCACCTTTCGAGTGCAAAGGATTAACACTGGAACTACCAAATAGGTCAGAATGACTCATTCCTGAATTCTTTTGCAATTGGAAAAACAGTAGATCTTTCTGTAAGAAATTTCAGAAGAAATTTTTTTAGCAATGCGTAGACTAAGTTTTGATGGAAGTCTTGGGGTTTTATAGAATTTTTAAAAGTACTTGTCTGCTTGGTAGTTCCAGTGTTGAAGGAGCTATCTGATAAACATCGACGACTAACAATCAAGGACACTTCACAATTAAACGATTTTATTTGTTAGAAGGTACTTTATTAATTACTCTGCATCTTCTTCGAAGCGAAGGTGTCTACCATTAATCACGCAACAACATTCTATTCAGTAGCCTCGGTAGCATCGAGAATTTCCATGGTTTTCTTAATCTTCGACTCCGAGAACCCTCTAGCGTCTTCTTCTCCGAAGAGAACCCGTCAGAATTCCAAATCCCTCGCGAACGTGACACAGTCATTGTGTCGAGGAATCTCGGTTGCGTAATCTGATCGTGGATCCCCGAAACCCGAAGAATCCCTGCGCGGTAGCGGAGACGGAACGGTATCTGGTCGATCATTCTCGTTTCCGAAATTCACTCGAGCCTCGATGCTCCTTAGTGGTGTCTCCCGCGCGATCGTTTCGGGCGGGATGCTTTGATTAGCTTAGCGACCGACGGACGAATTAATTTATGGAATTTCTCATTAGTCGTCAAAACTGACGACAAAGATCGTCCAAGATCCTCCTACATTTCATAGAAATAGGAAAACTTTGAATATTCGAGATCTCCCAAGTGCATAGGTTATGGAATCTCTCATCAGTCGTCTAAACTGATAACAAACATCATCGAAAATAATCTCCTACATTCCGTAGAAATAGGAAAACCTTGAATACTCGAAATCTGCGGAGCGCAGAGGTTGATGAAACAAGCGGTTCGCATCGGCGATAGCTTTCGTCGTCGGGATAACGCGAATGCGCGTCGACCGGTTACAGTTGAACAGCTCGAAAGCTCCGTGGTGGCAAGAGGGAAGACAGAGAGGCCGGGAGAGGGAGGTACAGCCGTAGTTCACCGTGGTCTCGACGGGGAGCAGCGGCTCGTTCCTCGCGAACAGTCCGCTGGACTCGAAGTACCGGTTCTTACTTCTTTTTCTCGCGCTCCCGCGGCCTCCCTTTCTTCTAGAAAAAGGAACCATGGGAGGGAGCGTGAGAGAGAGAAAGAGAGGGACAAGCAGGACGGGAACGAAGAGGAAGAGAGGAGGACGCGAGGACCGAGGGACAAAGAGAGACTTCCTCCGACGCGAAGCGGCGAACGGGCCCGAGAGGCGGAGGATCGGTACGCCGGTCACGAAGCTACCGCCGGTATTTATAGCGCGGCCCACGGACCTGTTCGAGGGATTTCGTCGGAGAATCTCACGTACCGGTCGATTCTTTTCTGGCCAGAAGGTTGCTCAACCGAGGCACCCCGCCATTTTGGTTGCTCCGCTCCGCGCCCGGCCGCCTACGGCTTCAAACGGTGACGCAACCGGTTGCGTAAACCCGCTTGCGACGCGTTAGAAGCGCGCCACGAGGAACCCGTCCCCCGAATCTAATCGCACCGAGTTTCAGGGTCGAGCCGCTTTCGCGGGCCTCTCGACGATTCCACGGGGGACACGAGGGGAAAACGATCGGTTCGATTTTCCGAGAGCTTTCGGTCGGACGTTCTCCGTTCGACGCCTCGGACGGGTTTGGGAAAAGAGATTGCGATCAAGGAATTGCTCTTTACGTTCTTTTCAATGTTCTTAAGATAGCCTGATCGCTGACGCGATATGGTGTATGTTAATTCACCGTGAACACGAACGTTTTACACTAACGTCTACAAGAGCTGGCCTTTGCACACCATACGTTAATTTTTTCGCAAGTTCAGATGCGCCAACAACTAAAGCACCTTCGACTTTCTTACGTTCACGGTTGCGACAAGAAAATAGAGACAGCAGCAGGTCTGCTTAAATTAGACGAGGAAAACGAATAACTCGATCCGCAATTAAGTTCATTAATTTACGTGAGTCGAGAAGGCACACCCATTGAAGTACTTAAAGAGAATAAGGCGCAAGAATGCGCCACGGTTTGGCCAGCTCTGCAGTAACTAATTATTAACCCTTTGCACTCGAGAGGTACAGTCACCACTTGATTTGACACAGTAAAACTATAGAATGTAATATTTAATGTTAAACTTTGTACAATCCCTCGATACGCGAAGCATTGGAATAAAACAGCTTTGTTCCTCAATGTACTGATTTCTCTTCGAATCAGTCTCTCATATTTCTAGAAAGAAACACCCGAGTACAGGATTAACTTAAAATTTGTATACCATGAAACCGTCATTATATCACAACCTTTGAACTTTTCTCTTTCCGTCTTCCGTTTCTCCACGCGAATGCGTTTTCTCCTGACTCGCTTCTAGCGCCAAGTATTAATCAATTAACCCTCTCGCCTGGCATCCCGAGTGCCAACTCTCCCGCAACGCGGAGTAGACGAGCGGGTAGACGGGCGGGGATCTTGCGCACGTGCTCGCAAAAACGACGTGTCCTCGCGGTCTCGGTTTCCTGATTTCCGCTCGAACGGCTCCGCCGGCCGACACGGTGTCCTCGTGCTCCATTCGCGAACCACCACCCGGTCTGTGTCAAAGTCAAGAGAACGCGCGGAACGACAGAAAATCGCACGGCCGGCTCCGGACGGGGCACGATCGAGCGCCGAGTGTAATTGCTCGGCCGTCTGTCCTTGAGGGGCGGTCCCGACTCGTCTGGTCGCGTTTACCTCGCTGGGAACACGGTCGCCGGCGAATTCGCGGGGATTCGTGCGCGTCCAGAACGCCGGTGGCGCGGCTCAGGGACACCGAGGTGTCCGCGGCTAATTCGATTTCGAATCGTCACTGCTCGCAGAGCACGCGAGACGCTTAATCTTTCGGTTCTAGCTTCGATCGGTTACTCCTAACCGTACCGATTCCGATCAGATTAGACGCGATGCGTCGTTTAGTCTAGCGATCGAGTGTTTTACATTGCGACGTTGGCTGTACGAAACTAACGATTTCTTGGTGATCCTTGGAATTCGAGAATTCGTCCTCGTTAGAAGCATTCTGCGAACATCGAATGATAGATAGATAAAAGAATCAGTAATTAGAGAGGGTGATTGAATTTAGCAATCGAAGATGGCGAAATTGAGACTGCAGTCGCATCGATCAGTCTACGGAAACGGAGATTTCGAGATTACGAGATTTCGGTGGACTCGTATCGTAGTTGGCATGCGCCTCGCGACGCGGAGATCGAGGTTCCCGCGTTTCCGACGCGATTCGAAACGACGAGACAGAGAGGGAGGGAGGAAACGGCGGAGCCGGTTGGCGGAGATTGCGACAGAGGGGAGATCGAGTGCCCTTCACCACCCACGGGGCAGCGGTTTCGCCGGGCGAGCTTTAATGGCGGGTCCCATTGCTCCGACGCGACGCTTCTCGTCTCGTCGAGTTATCTTTGTCGCGGCGGAGGACGAATTACGAGGCGACGCGCGAAGGACGAGCGGAAAGAGACTAGCATACGGTACCCAGGAACCCTGCCAAGGTTGCTCGTAAATTCAGGGTACCGTCGGAGCGCGCGCCGCGTTTCCATGCGCGCCTCGCGCGCGCCCATATTATAACCGTTCGCTCGTTACGTATTCGAGGCGCGTCCAGGCATTGAATCGTTTTCGTACGGCCGAACGAAATTTCCGAATTTCAATCTCTCCTACGCGAGAGCCGGCCGCGAGCCGCCGCCATCTTCGCCAAAGGACACGTGCGACCTTCTCGTTCCAGCCGCCCGTAGATCCTGTCCCACGCGTCGCTGCCGCTGATGCTCTTTCGATTCGCTCATCGATAATTATTACTCGATTCTCTTGAATTTCAATGGAACAGTATTCTTCCTTCATTGATCATACTGTAGAACAGACATCGAATATGCCTGGAATTTCTGTCTCGATAGATTAACCCTTTGCACTCCGAAGTTTCTCGCTAGAAATACTTCAACATTTTCTGATGAGACGAAGACGATATTTTGTAAAACTCGATGAGAAATTCACGTGAATTTTGAAACTTTGAAGTGAAGAGTCACCTCTCTAGTGCAAAGGGTTAGAATCCTAAGGCAAGGGGTTAAGATGGAAATACCTAACAAAACTTGGTTACGTGAAAGCTGAATCGAATTCGATTAAACCGATCTAGAATAATCACGTTCATATAATACTCGACTAACAGAAGACGTAATCGTTGAATTCGCTTAAGTCTGATCTAAGGTTTGCTAGGATTATCGCGAATTTTACGCCTATGTGCGCCAACGGTGCACCGGAAGCAAACTTGAAAAGCTGCGAAGGCGCCCGACAAGTTACTACCAGTTTTCTCATTAGTATAATATTCTCAGATGCTCGATAATACAATGCAACGTTTTGTGTCCAACAGATCGGGAAAAAACAGAGGACGACCGAGCGACGACACCGGAATCCTTGCGCAGCTCGAGTCCCGCGGTCTCGCCGCCGCCGCAATGGCAATCGTGCAGCACACCGGCGCCGCAGTCGAGCAACACACCACCGCGACGATTCATTTCCAGCATCCTTGGGGGAGACGTTCCGTACGGGAGCAGGGGTCACGTGCTGACCAGGGCGGAGCGCAAGGAGTACAGCAGCCCGCCGATCGCGCCGTCGTCTAGCGACGCGTCGCAGTTTCTCGCCAAGTCGGAGAAGCTGATTCTGCCGAGACCGACTACCCCCCCGAAAACACCCAGGGTGGAACCGCCGACCAGGGTTTCGGTGATACAGAGGGTTCCCCCTCAGAGCCAATCGGCGTCCAGGAGAGAAGACAAAGTAGAGGTGCCGCAGACTCAGGAACCGGAACAGGTAACCGAATCGTTTCGACGTTTTCTCAACGCTAGGTTTACGGGCATTGTACGTTTCGTTCTATTATTCCTAAAAGAATCGATGCTCGTTTATTTAGATCGTGGAAACTGGAGATTCGATGGTAGGTAACTGGGGTACACGTCAGTGTGACCGCATCAACATTTACAAAATAATATTTCTAAAATCCAATTCCGTAAACCTAGTGTTACTTCCTCCAGTGGAAGCCGATTAACCGTTTGCACTCGAAAGTTCTCGAGTGGCTGTACCGATTGTCTTCGGACAGCGTGCAGAAGACACCTTCCGAGACCGAGGACGACGATCGAGAGCGCAAAGGGTTAACAGGCTGTTCGATGCCAACGTTTATCGCGATATTGTCCTCGGACGATATTTCTAGATAGACGTTTAACGCGGCTCGAGACGAGTTGCTCTCCTTAGTATAAGTAAGGATAGCCGGACGAACCTGGGACGTAACATTCCACGAATATCAAGAGCGCGTTAGCGACTGGTCGCGTCGTCCTTCGGCGAGGCGGTGGTCTCGAACAATCGATCCAGCGGTGGGACTTTCCCGTTCGGTACTTTTCCCTGCGAACGGGCTACCGAGCCGAGCCGAGAATTTCATGAATATGAATCGAACCCGTTATCAGTCCGCAGAAACCAGTCCCTACCACCAGGGACGGCGAACGGAGAGACAAAGAAAGACATCTCTCATAAGCGAGCGGTCTCCGTAACCGCTGAACCGAATAATTGAGCCATTCATCGGCCGAGTACCGAAGAAATGTACCCGAAACGTACGAAGTTCGATCGGGTGGCTGCGACGATGATGTTCCGAGAAATTGGAGAAGTCGAGTCACTCGCCCGACGAGCGGCTCAATTATTTCCGTTCGCTCGTACGTAAGAGCAAGCGGGGTGAAGCGCGAATTCTCGCGAAGCAACGCGTGAAGCGAGCGTACCGATGCGAGCGAAGACGGAGTCGGAGTGGAGGACGGAAGCTAATGTTTACCGGTTGTCCCGACAGGATCAGCCGATCGATTATGCGGTGCCGAAGAGAAAGGAGGAGGACGAGGAGCGAGGTCGCGAGGGCGCGAAAGTCTCGCGCACGATCGGCAACTCGATCGCGAGGCCTCTGCTAGCCATGCGACTGTCCGGGCCGCAGGTGGTGCACGCGGCGGCCGGCCACGGGAGGTCCTCCAGTTCCGGAAATAACGGCGCTTCCGGGTCCGGCGGCGGTTCGGGCGGCTCCGGGAACTCGTCCTCTTCAAATTCCGGCGGAAGCGGCGGCTACTGCGGCGGCGGCGGCGCTGTCACGGGCGGCAGCGGAGGCGGAGGCGCTGTGGGCGGCGGCGCCGGCGCCGGAGGCATGAATCCCGGCGGAAACGGCGGCCGCGGCAACTACGGGCCCAGCTCGCCACCCACCGGATCCCTACCGCCCTTCTACGAGTCCCTGAAGGGCGGCAACAACCTAGCCAATTTCGCCAATCAGTACAACAGCACGCAAGGTAAGAGATTTCGCCTCGTTCCTATTGTTAGCTTATCGCGTAGTCGATAAACATTTCGCATATTGATGCATTATACGAAACTTAATATCATATACAACACTTTGTAATTTTTATATGAAATCAAATGGCGACTGAGAGTCACCTCGAGTGCAAAGGGCTAAATAGTGTAATAGATGTCAGCTGACGAATGTACTGTTTCAGGGAACGGCTACCTAACGCCCTCGCCGACGGTGGGCATGGAGTGCGACACCGGGCAGCAGGACGTGAACTCGCAGCACTCGCAGTACAACGCGCAAGAAGGGAAGCAGTACTCGCTGCTGCAGAACGTGTGCGCTACCTACGGGCTGACGCTCAAAGAAGAGGAGGACCTATCGCCGTACAAGATCCAACCGAACGACTTGCTCTCGGGCCAGTACGGCGCGTACGACATGACCGACACGGGGATGATGGTGGACATGGTGACGGGCGCGGTGGTGGATCCCCTGCAGTTCACCGCCACCCTGACGTTCAGCTCGCCGTCGGACCACACCGCGCTCCTCGAGAGCCTCAGCGACGCGGCGGACCTCTTTCTGCCGAGGCTACCAGCCGAGGACGGCGGCAACGATCTCCTCGAGGAGTCGCTGCACTCCCCGGCCTCGGCCGGAAGCGGGATCGGCCAGGACGGCAGCCAGATGACCACGCCCGTCGAGCCGAGCGTCGATCCGTTCCCGGAGCACAGCATGGCGCTGACCCGAGGCTTCGACACCTCCAGGTGAGAAACGGCGAACAGGCTCAAGCTACTAATTCCGCGTTAATAATCTGTCTCGAAGATCGTTTGCAACGTAACGGGAATGGAAAATGTTTGTCCAGGCACTACACGGCGGGCCCTCAGCATTTCAACACCTCGAAGCTGGGCCTGAACTACGGGAACGAGTCGGGCTATCAAACAGTCTCGAAAGAGCGCACCGAACTTGGTCTCCACATCAACCAGAACCATCAGCACCAGCCTGAGCCGCAGCTGCAGCAGCTACAGATACAGGTGCAGCTGCAGCAGCAGCAACAGCAGCAACAGCAGCAGACCACCGGCACGTCGCCGCATCAGCAGCAACACCAAGGCTTGCTTAGCCCTGGCTTGAGCTTCACCGGCAGCGGTTAGTATCCTTAACATTTTCTTCTTGAAGGATCTGATATTCAAGTAATAGAATTCAAGTTAATAAGTAAGACTCCCGTTCGATTCGAGTGCAACGAGACTCCATTTATCCGAAGCGACTTCGATCGGTCTAGCAGACTACTGGTTTCGCAGATAGATAGATGAACGATGTAGCAAAGAGCCGACGGACGGTCGTCGTCCGAACACTGTCCACTTATTCGAACCGTCTCACCTCCCGACGGGGTCGGATAAACGGAGTCCTGCCGTATGTCTTTAAACAATCGACGATATTGATTTCAAGGTCTGGAACTAGATTCAGGTAGCAGCGTGGGCGGAAGCCTGCCGAGCCCCGGAGCGGCTAGCTGTTCGCTGGACGCGGCGTCGAGCAGCACGTCGCCCTCCTGCGCGCTGATGGAGCACGCCGCCAGCCCCGCGGGGACGGTCTCCTCCGCGTCCGTCAACTCCGTGCAGCAGACAGGACCGGTCGGGGAACCACCGCTCACGCAACGGGTCGGTGTACTGCAGCAAAGGGTAAGCACCCGAAATTGATCCAGGCAAACGCATACTTCTTTGGATCCTCGTGGTCGCAAACGACCGTACCTATCTATATGGCAATGTTGAGCTCGTTCGAGTACCAGATTTCTGATGCAATTAGCAGTACGATCGAAAGATCGCGACGAACATTGGGAATATCAGTTTACGAGAGTGTGCTTCGCAGGAAGACAGCTCGGAAACTGAGTAGACTAGCTAAAATTGAGCTGTAAACTAGAGCTTCCTTGTCTCTGTTCCTTCGTATCTAGATTATTCAATCAAGTACCAGGATACTTTGAATCCTTCCTAGATCTCGATACTCGAGAATACTTGAAGCATTCGCTCATCGCGGGAGACAGTTGTTTTTCCTTGCCCAAAGTGTGAAGATAAACAATATTGCCACATAGACGCGAATGAAAACAGTACGCGTGAAAATTGACTGACGCGCGTCGTAGTCTATGCAATGCCCAATCAAATTGAGTGCTTCATCCACTGTAAGGGCAAATGCTCTGGAGTAGCTTGCGGGGAATGTCGCAGCGCCGGTTATTATTGCGCGATGACGAACGAAGCTCTCCTGTCTCGCTAGAGAAGAGAGACAGGAGATCTCGGCGTCTTCGTCCTCCCGGAAGAATGGCGGCTGCGACATTTCCACGCGAATCGCTCGCGTGCATTTTGCTCTGAGCGATCGAACCGATTCGGCCGCTGCCACGGCGTCGTTTCACGGTGGACATTTTCCTGTGTTTCAGCTGGGACTGCCGGGCGACTGTCAGCTGGAGTTCGTCAACGGCGGCCACGGGATCAAGAATCCGCTGGCTATCGAGGGTCAGAGACAGGCTGCGGCTAATCGCGACGAGGAGAGGGCAGCCCGACCTCCGCCTGGCAAGGTAAACGTCATTCTCGAACGCCTTTCCTCGCTGTATATCAAACGCTTTATTACGCGCGAGGCGCGATCGGCGAGGTGCCTGCATTCTTCGATTTCGAGCGGTCTTACACGCCTAGATTCGAGCCGATTCCCATTCTAATTCGAAACCGTAGAAACAACGTGTACCGAGGGACAGAATGAAGGAGGATTCGTCGATGTTTCAGGACGACGATCCGAACCGCTTCACCTGCCGCGTGTGCAGCAAGAATTTCAGCCTGCAGCGGCTCCTCAACCGGCACATGAAGTGCCACAGCGACGTGAAGCGTTACCTGTGCACCTTCTGCGGCAAGGGCTTCAACGACACGTTCGACCTGAAGAGGCACACGAGGACGCACACGGGCGTCCGGCCGTACAAGTGCAACCTCTGCGAGAAGAGCTTCACGCAGAGATGCTCCCTGGAGAGTCACTGCCTCAAGGTTCACGGAGTTCAGCACCAGTACGCGTACAAGGAGCGACGCACAAAGGTGAGCTGCTAGTCCCGGATCAATTAGAAACGACGCGTGGACGTTTAAGTATTTAGAATCGGAGACATCGATATCGTATATTCTCAAATCTCCGAGTTCCTACGTGTAAACCGATGAACTTCCTCGAGCAACGAAAGAGTAAACGAGTGTTTGTAAATCTACCATCGGAAGATTTAACGGTGGAGATAAGTTAGTTGCATGCCCGTTGCATTTCTTCCCCGATTTCACGGAGTGTTATCGACGTTAACGATCGCGTGGTTTTTTCTGTTCGCAAGGTGTACGTGTGCGAGGAATGCGGCCACACGACGCAGGAGCCGGAGGTCCACTACCTGCACCTGAAGGACAAGCACCCGTACAGCCCGGCGTTGCTAAAGTTCTACGACAAGCGACACTTCAAGTTCACCAACAGCAACTTCGCCAACATGTTGCTCCAGGTGCGCACGTAGACCCCCGTCTGTAGTAGAACGGTTGTTAGGACGGTTTTTCGAGCACGGCGTTTGTTCGTCGGTAGAAAACATCGAGAAGCGTGCGCGGTCGCCGAGGCGGACGACGCGGAGAGGCCACGGCCGTTCTCTTCCAATCTCGCGCACGTTCCGCACCGAAACGGAGATAGGGCTAGCTCGGGGGTTGTAGTTCGAGCGGCGGACGAGACACGCAACGAACCGGGTGGACACGTTCGATCCGAGAGAGACACGCTGCGAGAGCACCGATAGAGACGACTGTCCGAATAGAGTTCGTAGCTTCGGAAGATCGAAAAGAAAGTTGATCGAAAAGTAACGAGATCGGACGAACACGAACGGAAGACGCAGTCTACGAGTAA